CTGACTAAACTGTATGTACTATTCTACTGAAAGAGAAGTAGAAGACGAAGCCATAACCTTTAAAATAATACCATTTATTTTGTAATAATTTTGTATTTTATTCAAAGTTACCCGTTTTATTAGAAATCAATTGAATTCTGTTATAGTAAAATAGTTTATTACTGTGAGATTCTAATTATTTATATGGGACTACCGAGTAAATAAATAAGTAAGGTAATGTGAAGGGTAAAATGTGGTGTGTGAAATATGTAATAATATACAAAATATTCTATGTGGGTATAGTCGAATAAACTATATAACTATAAAAGTTAGTTGGTATATAGCAATATTATGGCACTAGAAAAGAAAAAAGTTGGTGAAATACCTCAAGACGCAGTAGTATTGTCGAAAGAACAAGCTTTGAAGTATCACTATGCAATTTTAAATAATTGGAAGTCTGAATCAGATATGTGAGTACATGTCAGTACCTCAGAGCTAAACTCTATTAACTCCCATTTAGACAGGAGAGCTGTTTATAAAATTTAATCTCAATTAATTGTACATAGCGCTTTTATTGTCTTTTGTCAGATGGTTAAACGAGATTAGTTGAGTGTATACATACTAGTTTTATTGAAACAGGTTTGATCAAAACCGATGTTTATTTTTCTTGAACATATATGGAGTTCATAATGTTTTTGCAAAAAAGTGGAGTTAATACAGTTTAGCTCGGAGGTGCAGATGTATATTTATGAAACTACTGAAACAATATTATTTTTTTTAGTTTTGCTTATAAATATGGATCAGTGTTCTTAGGTGTTTCAACCATGTTAGTCGGGGGATATATAAATAATCATTTTAGAAGAAAACTAAAGCTATTTAGTTATGGAAGAATATCTTCTTATTTACCAATTTGTGCAGCACCTGCTACTATGTGTTTCTTTTTACATCATGAGGTATAGTAGTTTTGTAATTTAAAAATGTACTTTAAAAAAAATTGAATTTTAATCAGCAATTTGACAATAAATTGTTACATTTCAAAATCGGTCAATTTTGCAAGGGGGTATATAATTTTTTTCTATCACGCTCCAGCGTTGCGCTATGAAAATAACATCACGCCGTTGTACTATCTGGCACTTTCCATTCATATAACCCCATACCGCTATAGGTCCCATAATGACTCGCACTTGTGATAGAAAATAGTATGTGCAACTCGTTTGGAAAAGTTGCCATAGCGCCACTTGGGCGCTTTCTGCACTCGCTTTGCTTGTGCAACAACTTTTCCTTACTCGTTACGCAATGTACTATACTATTATTAAATAAAATAATAGATCAAATATTTATTCATTATGTATTCCTTAATACTTTTTAAATTTAAATAAACGTTCACAATGTGTGCTTGAGAATATTCGTGAATGTTCTGTCATGAAATAACTTGTGCAGGAATGTTCTTTTTGGAAACACAATAGGAAAACTCTTCTGAATTTTCTCAAATTTCCCACTACCCAAATGGCATGCTGCACTACTATTTTAGATAATGTTTTATATATATTGAAAAATATAGTACTGAAGAATATTTTCAAAAAAATTGTGTGATATTTTCAGCATATTCACGGGGATTGTTCTAGAATATAAAATCATATTCAAAAGATATGAAATATGTTTCGTAAGTTTATAACAATGCCTACTTTCAGCCAATCTAATTGATGAGTTATCGCAAATTCACCACATGTCGACCATTTTTGATGAGTTTATTATGAATATACATTTTTCTCACTTCTATTGTTTGTTGGCATTTATAGGTAAAATTTTTCGTTATCTTTCTACAGATTTTCTTTATATTTATAAATACGAATATTATGTGATTCCAACTAGACTTCTATTAACCATTCTTTGATTCATTATTACCTTCAGATGTGTTCACCACATGATTACTCATCGAATTCACTGATTCACACTAATTACATTAAAAAGTGGTCTCGGTGAAAATTGAAAGTTGCTGTGGATACGAGCCTCTGGAATAACGTTTCAATCATAAAAACCCTGGCAGATGGAACAAAAAAGAGATTAGCAGCTCACCACCTCCACATCGGTTGATCTTGGGTAATGCGAAGTGTGAGCAAAGATATGTTCTTTTATAACGGTAACAGGGCTCAAAAAACAGGTAATATGTTGGTGTGCTTTATTTCACTTGAAAATAGGTGATAAAGTAAATGTGGCCCGTGGAATAGGTTATGCATGCTTTTAACCTTTCTTTCGGACAGTTTTTGGCCGGTTTAGGGGGTGGCATGACAGTATGTGTTTGTGGGCTTTACCTTCCTTGCAAATGGGTGACATCGTTGCACTTTTACTGATCTACACACATGTCTGAAATGCTAAAAAAATAGTAAGTGGCCAGTTTTTATGATCGGAACTTATTCCAGAGACCAAAAATGACTCGTATCCACAGCAATTTTCAAAGTCGAGCTGCCTGTGAATGTTGTATGAAATGAGTCACTACCTTAAAAAAATATATTGGTCTAATTATTAATTAATGTGCTTCCAGTTTCAGTACTTTTTTTTGTTTATTATTAACTCGACTGCTTTTAATTTATGCTCCAGTGGCGGGTAACAAAAGTTTAATCTTGAAAACAGAAAAAGTCATCTTAAGGAATAAGGTTTTTGAAAGAAAATTATTGGACAAAACTTGTGGCTCTTGATGAATAAATAAAATTTTGGAACTTATTTCTGGGACACTGTATATGAAAAATTGGGGACACTGATATTGTGTTTAAATTATTGCTTAAAAAATGTGATCTGTAATCCTTCTTAGAAACCATATTTAAAAAAAGAAAATAATTTCATATTACTTAACATATTTCCAAGTTGTAAGCTATAAATATTTTTACAGGTGGTATTAAAAGATTTAGTACTGTTACAACAAAATCATTGCCCAATTTGTATGGAAATGAAAGCTTCAGCATTTCAGTCACTATTCGGACTTGCACTGCCTCTAGCTTTAGCTCCAATAACGTCTTTAGGGGTAAGTATGTTTGATAAATCAGATATTTAAAATTATATGAACTATTTTTATTTTTACCGCATACTTGTTAAAAATGTGTTACGTGTTAAAAATGTTACTATGAAATTAATTTTACTTCAGGTTCAATAGTTAATGAAAGCTAGATTTTAAAATTATTTTGGTGTTCAGTAAATACAAATGTTCCATTGAGTATTTAAGATAATATATTATATGTATCAAATTCATTGCATTTCTTTCAGTTAGCGCAGAGATATGGTACCTCTAGTATACCTTCTATATTACAAGAACCGTTAGAAGTATTCAAATTGGTACGTAAATTTGTAAATCCAATAAAAAATGTGTTGTTTGGAATCTTTGTTGGACAAGCTCTACTTGGAAGTGCTGTGACATATTTTGAAGCTAAATCCATTTATAAAGTACATTCACAATTAATGGAATTAGAAAATAATTTGGAATATACAGAGAAAATGTAGATTTTAATCTTGTAGTATACATGTACAAAAAGACAATTGTGTATTTTACAGTTTTGTTAATAACAATTATGTATTTCTAGTCATTTTTTTTAATAATAAAAATAACATTATTTCATTACCTATTTCTCCAAACCATTGGATTATTTTAAACAAATCTGAAAAGTTTTGTATCCCATTTCTATTTAAATGCAAATATAAAAGCATACCTATATCATCTGTTCACAGTATGGATTTGGCTATTTCGTGAAATCAATAAAAATGTCCAACGAAATAGTGGCACATAGTTCAAATTAACTATGTTGAATAAATTGTCGTGTCCTATCGTATCGTGTGAATGAGGGTCAGGCCTATAAGAAATATTTCACAAAAAAATATTTTTTTTACATATCTGCAAATATTTGAAAAGGCAACCCTGGTAGCCTTTTATATTTCTGGAATGATAACAAAAAAAAGAAATTAATCGTCGTATATGGCTTTATTTTTCTTCAAAATATTCTCCATGAAGATCAATACACTTTCGCATGCGTTCAAACCAATTTTCGAATCACTTTTTCTATTCCGATTGAGGTACCTCTAAAACATGTATTTCGAATGCATCAACCGTTTTTTCAGGTATCGAAAAATGTTGACTTCATAATTTATTTTTAATATGCGGGTAAAGTCATTGGGTGCCAAATCAGGGCTGTAAGGCGGATGACATCAATTTGACTTTTTTATTTCTCAAAAAATCTCTTGTCTGAGCCCATGTCTGAGAGCTCGTATTGTCCTGTGGAGAATAATGCGTCTTCGGTGGTTGGTTTCTCTTATTCATTCAAAGACTTCTGGCAGGCAAACAAATGCAACATTGAAGGTATACTGATCCCACTAATGCCCAAAGATGCCCCAATTTCGCTATAAGTCACATGACGATCTTGCAATATAAGTTCACACACAGCATCAATGTTTTCTGGAATAACGACCGATGAACCGATTTTTGACGACCTTCACGAAATTTGTCAGTGAGAGAACCATGAACATGACTGAATTCCATATACCACGTATATACAGTGGTTTTTGGTGGCGCTGCATTGCTAAAAGTCGAATTGAGTTCATCGATGTACTGTTGTCGAAATAATCCACGGAGAAAGTTATAAAAAAATAATTGCACGGAAGTGTTCACGAAATGTTCAATTTTTTTGCAGAGATGAATTTTTCAAGTCACTGTAAACAACACGCCTGTTGAAACATTTTGGGTAAGTATACTGACAAAAAGTCGAACTTTATGATAGGGACGTTGGTTGTTGGATGACCGCAAGATCATCCATTCCCGAATTATAAAAGGCAACCGGCAGTGATCAAAAACTATAAATTCTCGATCTAAACCTATAGCTCTTAGAGTAATCGTCCTATTGCAGGGAAATTTGATATTCCAGGTTTTTTTATATCCTAGAATCCACTCGAGGTAATAATATTACATTATATTCTAGATTTCAGCCCCTTTTAGGGGGTTGAAATTAATAAAATTGGAACAACTGTTGAAATGGAATGTAATGTATTCTATTTTAATGTTTGTTCACGAATCTCCTGGTTTTTTACGTTTAATAACAACCTTCGAAATCATTAGAGGGACGACCACCCTTTTCTGATGCAGATGCTTTACGAGAATCCTGCAGGCAGCAAACATAAATTTTTGGGAAAATTATTTCTTCATTCAGCCAATTTTCGAATTTACTTAAGAAATGTTCGTTTTTTCATCTAACTTTTCTCCATCTTGCAAAATAAGGCGCAAAGAATGCGTTTCCTGTATATTTGGTAAGTGTTTTCGTTGCATTTTCATGAAAATTTGTATGGAAATGCTCTTTTAAGTCGACCACACGGTTTTTTAACACTTCGACTGATTTGCGTGAAAATTTCATCATTTGATGTAATTTGAGGCGTGTTACTGGTTCATCAGCCATTGTAATAAAAGATAATAATATACAAAGAAAAACAGTGCAAATAACAAATAACACAGAACAAACTAAAACAGAACGGAAAAGTCATTGGAGCACACTAAAAATACTGTCTGACACAAAAGCGGGTGAATAACTAAAGTAAATCCATTTGTACGCCTCGTATAAATAGGTCATTTACGGCCTTATCTGCAAATATCTGCAGATAAATTAAGTGTAATTATGTTCCCAGGTATCCTGGCATTAATTTGAAAGATATACGGAAGTATGGTCCCGTATAGTACTAAATGAGATAACGACCTAAATTAGAGAATTCGCCCAAAAATTACTTGCTGGCTATAATCAGTTAAAAAACATTAAGGCTTAATTCAAAAATCACCTCGGATATATGAAGAGAATGACAAAAGACTGTACTTTTAAGCCCTGTATAGTATAAATAAATATACAGGGTGTTTGGTAAGTCGATGCATTCCTTGCAGGAGGTTATAGTACAAGTGATTTGTGATCTATTTCTTTCATATACCATATTCCGAAAACGCTTAGTTTCCGATCTACAGTTTTAATAAAAATATGCAAATTTATAAATATTGCGGAAACCTTTCAGAATATTTTAATGAAATTGTACAGTCTTTGACAGTTAACTACAATACATGTTTTACAATAAAAATATTGTTTTCAGTTTCATCAGTGGCGTGCGCACAGGCATGTCTAGATATCGTCAAAGAAAAAAAATATTTTTGAATTCCTTGTTCAATTTGGAAGAGAAAAGGTATCCTGACTGTTTTTCTTATGACGCACCGTTTTCGAGTAAAAAAAATAAAATCGATTTATTGCATGGCGTAATTCGGTTTCAATAATTTGAAAAATATCAGAAATTATGCACTTAACTGCTTCACACTCAAACACTCAAAGTGACAGCTATTATTAATATTGTCAAAAAATAACAAAAACAAATGCACAGCCTAATTGCGGTTTAGATAGTGATCTAAAAATTGATAACATTTTTTTAGATTGATGTTAACTGCGAGGAATAATTTTTTATAATAAAATTGGTACAAAAAAAAACTGAGTGCATAATTTCTGTTATATTTCAAATTATTGAAACCGTATTACGCCATGCAATAAATCTATTTTATTTATTTTTTACTCAAAAACAGTGTGTCATAAGAAAAACAGTCGAGATACCTTTTATCTTCCAAATTGAACAAGGAATTGAAAAATAATTTTTATTTTAAGGAAAATCAGTGGCGTATCATTTTAAAAATATCGAAGACGTGCCTGTGCACACCCCACTGGTGAAACAAAATTATCGTAAAACATGTATTGTTAATTGTCAAAGCTTATAAAATTTCATTAAAATAATCTGAGCGGTTTCCGCAATATTTATAAATTTTGCATTTTTTTTTTATTAAAACTTAATCACCCTGTAGATGAGATACTAAGCGTTTTTAGAATATGGTATATTGAGGAAATAAATCACAAATCACTTGTACTATAACCTCTTGCAAGAAATGCATCGACTTACCAAACACCCTGTATAAAGGCCTGAATGTTGTATTGCGTTTTTTCGAGAGATAAAACGATAGAAAAATTTGCGTTATTTTTAACAGATTTAACTGTTTATGACTTCTATATGGAAGCTTAAATTGACCCAATATTTTCTGAAAAATTAGTTCAGTATTAGCCTGTAAATTTTAGCGTTATAGAAAAATGTGAAATTTTTAGGTTTCGAACGGGTTTTAAGGATTTTTTAACACTGTGCAACCCCTGTACAAAGCTATAAAATAATTTAAAATTTTAAATGCACTTGCAGATATGACTGTTCTTTGGCTTAATTAGGAAAAACAAAAGAAGTTCTGATTTATAAAAAGTAATTTTTTATTAAACCTTTAAACCCCACTACAATACACTCAATATTAAAGACTAATCGTAATGGCTAAATTCAGAGAAAAATCAGAATGTTGTGTCTCAATTTTAATGGCTTACTGGATTAATACCTATATTATCCAGATTTAGGCACAATTACGTTGATGGTATGAAATGTGTTAATTAAAATAAATCTTAAGATTACTATTTTTGATAATCGTAGTACACATTAACATTTTAAATCTAAATCAAATTTGTTATTAACATAATCCTAACAATTATAAATATTTGAAAAACTAACAATACAAGCTTCACTCTTAATTTTAAATGTGTACTATGACGTTTTAAAAGTTTGTTGCTGAATAAACTCTAGTAGCAGAATTGTGATACCTAAAATTGAAATAGCTCTAATAGTCCTGAGTCAGACACCTCTTCTGGTAAAATGGAATGCCAAACAGGATCGAATACATAAATCAACTCACAAATATACCGGGCAAGATATTGCCATTATTGCAATTAAAATACAGGAAGTCAGATGGAAAATGTTTACACGTTAAAAAAACTAGAACCATGGTACCTGTAATTATTTGGGCAGTGTAGCAACTTGTCTTTAAATGTTAATAAAAGCCTTATAAAAACAACTGATTATTTAAAAAATTAAAAATGTTAGTAAATGTGTAAAATATTAAATATTTGTTTACATATACTCCATGGACATTTTTGCTTGTCAAGTAAAACAGTTCTGAGCAAAACTGTTGCCAAATTGAGGTGCATATACATTAGTTTTGTAACAGTGTCACTCAACGAGCATAATCTTCCGGGACGAATGTGTAAGAGGCTGCTTTAATAGGTTTTAGATATTACTTTCTTAAATGCCTATATTATTTAAAATATATGAAATTATACTGTGAATATTGGAGATCAGATCTGACTTTGTATATATAATTTTTCTTGAGACTCCAGAATTGTTTCCTTCAAATTTCACACTAGGATTTTCTTATGGACGTAGTTTTTACTTTTAGAAATTTAGTGAGAGGTAATGCATCCTTTTCAACGCATTTTTTCAAGTTTTGTATTTTATATACAAAATGCTAGAAAAAAATGGCACCTTTGAAATGGCATTCCACCTTACAGCACATGTATAAATAGATTTTATTGGTGGAGTTGCTATATACATCTAAATTTTTATAAAAAAATTTAACTGTAATGAAAATGTGCGGGGGAAAGACGTGAAGTGACCAAAGTGAACATGGAATATTTTGATTATGATATCAGACACTGTCTTGATTTAAATAATAAAAAAATCAGTTCAGATGTATTAGCAACGAGATCACAATACAATGATGTTCCTAGCAGAAATTTAGCTAATTGAGCATCACTATTAATGATTGTTGATGTTTCATGATGACAAAAATGGCAGTGATCTTTAAGTTAAAAAATCCCATCGCATCTAAAGATGGTGTTGTTTCATTTTTAAGCTATTACCAAATTACTTAATATTTAATTGCTAAATTAGAATCTTCAAATATTTTTTTATTTTTTTTATAATTAATGAGAATAAAAACAATAACTCAACAAAAATATGCTAGTGTTATTTATAAAGCGAAAAAAATGTTTACATTTTATCATTAATGGAGAGTATGGAGACATTGTAGAAAAAATATGTCATTTAATATACTCTGTACTTTACAACGCTTAAAAAAAATACAAATCTAAAAATTACAGTGACACCCCATAGTTAACTTGTCGGACGACTAACTTGACATAGATTTATATAATTGCGATTCATACCATTAGAAATGCACCACTTATTAAAAATATTGTAGGTTCCGTAAGGGTCAGTTTTTCCGCCTTCTGGTACATAAAAATTATATGCATAAGAAGGTGACAGAAATAAAATTTGACACTTGGAAAAACCAACCCTAAATATATAAAAAATGACGCACAACGCACAATATTTGATTTCCACGGTTTTTGCATATTTTAAACATTGATTCGAAATTTAATTAAATACGTTTCTATTTCCAATTATTTTTAAATGTCTTCCTAAAACAGTTCTGATGACAAAATGTAACAATTATATAAGAGGCATATCCATAAAGTAAAAGTACTGTATTCAAGGTGTTGGGAGCAGAATGCACACTTATTTTTCTCAGTCAGTTGAGAGCTGTTGTAGTGGTGTGTCGAAATGAGTGCTGCTATTCCGAATCCCGCCAGCTGCGAGGTGAGCAGCATAATCGGGTTTCTTCTTGCAAAGGGAAAGGCACCGTTCCAGATTTTTAATGAAATCAGAACTGTTTATGGGGATGGTATGATGAAGGCCTCTTCTGCATGCAATCATTACTGAAATACTTGGTTTTGGAAAATTTTGTGTGAGGTGGGTACCAAAATAACTCACGGATCAACACAAAATCAACAGAATCGTATCTTCACGGGAATTTGGAAGATAAACATTTCCTTAGCAGCACTGTGAATGGCGAAGGAACGTGGGTGGACCAGTACACCCCCGAGACAAAAAGACAATCAATGTAGTGGCGACATCTGTCTTGACCATCAGCAAAAAAACAATTCAAAACCGTTTCGGCCCGAAAAATTATGGCAACTGTTTTGGGATTTCCTAAGGGGAAACAATTAATGCTGCGCAGTATTGTGAAACTAAAAACACTAAGGAGAGCGGTACAGAACAAAAGAAGGGGAATGTTAACGAAGCAAACGCCACAAAGCAACTCTTGGATTAATTCGGTTCAAACATAATCAACCACCCTGCTCACAACCCTGACCTGGCACCTTCTGATTTTCATTTTTTCTCTTAGGTGTTTATAGGTACAAAAAGGTTTTCTTCCGACGATGAGGTCCACATTGTCATGAAACAATGGTCCCGAGAGGTGATGAGAGAGTTTTTTGACAAAGGTATTGAAAAGCTCATCTCTCAACTCACAAAGTGCATTGAGGTTGCAACTAACTCGAAAAATAGTGCTAGATGTATTTTTCATAAATTCATATACTTACTGCCGTTTTGATTTCTACAAAATGGAGTACTCTTACTTTATGAACATGCCTCGTATACAGTTTTTGTTAAAAGAAAATTTTTGTAGATATTTTATTATTTAATCCAGCAAATCAAAGACTTAGCTTGTACCAGCAAGCTATTCTAAAATATGCAAAAAGAATCATGGACTACCATTTTAATGTATTATACAAGTAATTACAATTTTTTTTATAAGCAAATTGAAATGGTTTAGTGCAAAATTATGTTATTGCCAGTGGCCTCGTTTCTGTGAAAGGCCGAAAAAATGGATATGATTTGGTATGAACAAATCGCTGACATGTAGATAAGTTTAAAAAAAATACTACTGAATTAGTGAACCCTGTAAAAATGCATATATTAGACTGAGAAAAATAAAAATAAGTAACGTTTAGTACAATTAAGACTTAGTCACCTATTTGTTATTGGTTACAAGTAACCCAAATGTATTTTATATACATAGATTATGGAAATATTTTTTACTTATTGAAAACATATTATGACTCACATATATTTTTTTAATTACTTGGTGGAATATAAATTCAAAAAGAAATTACTACTTGGTGAAACTGTTCATAAAATGCAATTAATAAAAAGGAACATCTGAAACTACTTCAATACTTATTGGTGCACAATATTATTGTCGAATATCAAGATCCATTAGTTTTTACAAATATGCATACATCTCACTTTGCCAATCCATTGTTCAGCTGCCCCTCTTTAAATATAATGGATTTTAACCCAATATTAATGTTTCAAATAGTACCGTGATAGTCTCAAGTAGCATTATTTTTACATACGATAAGCTCTGTTCTTGTGCGATGGTCAGGCACATAGTGACAAACATCAACAAACCCTAATCTACCAACAATTTTGAAATGGTCTGAATACCTTTTCGTATTTCACAAAAAAAATCTTTCATATACTATTTTTGTAATCAGCAACATAGTGTTAAAATGGCAAAGGAAAGATTCAGAAACTGTACTTTCCAAATGAACTGTCTACATTCTTAAGTTATACGAATAGGCAATATGTGTAAGTGTAATTCGTATTGTTATGTGCAACTTAATCAATATTTATCTCAACAAATATATTTAAAACATAATTACCTAATTTAAGTCGCACAGAACTTGAAAAGTGTTTTTGTTTGCTTCTTAATTCTAATAAAATTTAGTTCTTTGGAAACAATATTTTTGTAGAATTTGAAATTACCTGCAATCAACACCTTCTTAAACCATACTTTTTCTGACTTACATTTCCTTGTGACATATTACTTGTGTTACTTTTTATAGAATCTGTTATAATTTGGTACAGTAGCATAACCTCTTAAAACAACTTATGGGTCACTTTTGCTTTCTGAAAAATGTCTGGTAACCATTCATTTGAGATTCGGGTGGAGATAACATAGGAAATTCCTGTTGGTAAGATGGCCCGGGGTAATTTTCCCACCACATTGGTACAGGGGCAGGTAAAGGTTGTAGCATATATGGGGGCTGCACAGTAGCCATTGTAGGTCCATACGTTGGAATTGGAAGAGGCGGTTGTACCATCACAAAAGTAGCAGGATGACAAGGGGGCACTGTGTGAGAATATGGGGGCACTGATTGTGGGGGCACCATAGGGGAGCGCCCCCACATTATCTGCTAGCATCGCTGATTGTTCCAATGGTTCATGTAATCTTGATAAGTCACTGTAATTTTTTCACTTTGATATCGAGTTAATTTTATTGTACGTCGCACTTCGCTTGATATCACTGACTTGTAACCTCCTTTTCTAAGGAGTGAGTCTATTGTTTGCAGCTGATCCCAACCTAAGATAAAAAAAGACTGGGTTAGTTCACGAAAGCAACTCTGCTTATGGAAATAAAACAAATAAAAAAGTAATTTAAATCTTTCAAATTTAGTTATAATGATATTTTTACAAATTATAATCACAATAATATCAACAAATTCAAATTTCAATAGACTTGAGGTAGTAACGAAAGAATGAAAATATAAATTACACGGTAGGTAATGGTATATTATGCAAATCTTGGAAAAGTAATTGTCAAAATCAATGAAACCAAGAGAAATAAAATAAAACAGACAATAAAATTAATATGAAACTATAATCTAAATAAATAGAGATGTGCAACGGACATGTCAGCTGAACATGTCGTGAAAAGTGGACATGTCCTGAGGACACTTTTCAAGATTGAAAAGTTGTATGCGCAGGCGCGGAATTATTTGTTGCATTTCATAATTCCCGCAAAAAATTTTTTATGTTGAAACATGTAAAATTAAAAGATATTTAGGCATTTTCTCGTAATTTTGTTGGTAATTGTATAACTGAAACTGACATTTTAAAAATATAACAAATATAACCTCTTTTATATGTCAATTATTATATATAATTAATATGTCAATTAATGTCAAAATGTCAAATTAATGTCAATATTATTATATATAATTAATATGTCAATTATATGTCAATTATTTTTGGCAAAGTTAACGATTAGTAATCAATTGATTCTTAATTTAATATTTAATACACAAATAGTTTATAAATTAAGTACGACGCCAAAATTGAGTAAAAATCATTATAAATGTAACTTCTGCTCAAAAACAATTTTTAAAGATTCCAGTAGGATGGAAAAACAATTTCACATAGTTTTATGTTTTATATTAGACAAAAATGAGACATTCCAATGAAGAATTAATCAAAAATATAATAAACGATAAATAATATTTAATAAGACGCATATTAATTAGAATAAATTGCCTCAAGCAGTGACCTGTGAAAACGTGATGTCACTCATAGGTGCCTTATTAGATTCAAGGTCAAAAGTACTTTTCCCAACATGTCCGGACATTTCATCGACATGTCCAACGGACATGTCTGTAACGCACTTTTTCGAAAAGTGCCCGTCTCTGTAAATAAATATATTTATTAATTCATTAGACTGACACTGTGCTTGCTTTTGATGTCAAATAATATTGTACAAGACAGCACAGAAGGTAGGTAGGTATATTTTTTCAAAATGAACTTGTAATGTATTAACAATGTGCTTGGAATATTAAAATAATATTTAAGACTAGTAAGCTTTTTATTTTATGGAGAAGAAATAATAGATTAATCGTAAATAACTTTAAATCAAAATAAATTTCGAACATTTTAGACAATTTTGACATCAGTTTAAAAATGTGCAAATTGATTTTGGCTATTGACATTATTTAAAAATATATTAGGTAAATATTTGATACAGAAATTCCAATAATAATAATTTAATTGATCCTGTATTTGTATATGAATATTCAATATTCAGATTGTTTAACATATTTTGTATGGATAAAAATGTTATGTTTATGGGTATATATTGAATGTACCTATAATGTAGATATTATGGATGAAGTTTGTATTCCTTGGCTAATATTCAAATATAAACTTCACATCAAAATTAACGCACCATTAAAAGTGGGCCATAATTTTCAAAATGGATTTTCTCTCATCCGAATATGGAATGTTGTAAGAAGTTTTTTTTCTGAAATTTTAAACACTAGAGTGCAGCAGCTAAAACATCTACTTGGATACGAATCATAGGTACTGTAGTCTCTTATTTTCTCAATTACTTATTTTTTGATTCACATTTTCTCCGTTATTAACTTGTGATCCATAGTGGAAATAAAATACGCCATTATGAAACGGATATCAATATTCACACCTACTTAAATATTCGCTAGTTTATGTTCATAGAATTAATAATGAATAATTACAAAAAGGAATTATAATAATTCTAATACATCTTGAAGACTATGATGACTCAATACTAAATAGAAATAGGTATTAAAAATTTATTGTAACATACTGTGACTAGATGTAACATTTTTTCGAAAAATAACTACAAGTAAGTCATATAACTAAATTTTGCATCGTATGAGATACAATGTTAACCTGATCAGCTAAAAATGTTATTATTCCTCAGTTTTTGTTCTAACTTTAATGGAGAATCATTGTTCTTAGAGATGGAAGTGGATGTGCAAAAAAATTCAAATTATGTATTTATGAACATGCAGACCACCCAGGCCCGGTCTGGCCAGGTCGGGCAGTCGGCAAAACCCGACTTATTTTGGCAGATAGGCCCCCAAACGACTAACGAGGCTCCAAAAGTATAAGAAAGTTTTTTGTAAAGAACATAAAAATGAAAATTGAATCTTTTGTAGAAATGGGATTTTCCCAAGTCAAAAAAATAACACAAGTTTTATTATTTTGCCCTATACCCCTATAAACAGTGTACAAAAGAAAGAAAGAAATAAATATATATTTCAAACCTTCAAACAGCCCTTTAAACTAATAACTCCTTTATCTATAAACCGTGGGCCTGGAGGAAAAACGAGTAAAATTAATAACTCCCAAACTGTAAGTCTTTTAACCTTATAATAACCCTTTACCCTATAGCCGTATAAGCTATGTGCTCGGAAGAAAAAATGAGAATATAAATAATAACCGAGCTTTAAAATTTTTTAAAGCCCTCAGACTATGTCCAAACTATTATTGATTTCCTGTATCCTGTATCCCGGGTCGATAGGATTAAATGCAACAAAAAAAAAATAAATGAAGAAGCTAGAAAAGTCATTTTTGACGAATTTTGGAACCTTGGAGATCATACTCGGCAGTGGGATTTTCTTGTAAGGTGCATGACACGAGAAAAAGAGCAGGTTAGGTCTGTACATAATAAATATTCCAGAAGGAATTTTTCTCGCAATCATTATCAGTTTGTCATTGACAATAATGAGAAACAAATTTGTGAAACGATGTTCTTAAATACGCTTGCAATTTCTGAAACAGTTGTAAGCGCCGCTTTGCAAAAAATTGGTGAAGGTGGTACTGTAGAACGGGACAGAAGAGGAAAACACAATACTAGACTCCATATGAACCCGGATGCTCTAATAAAAAACATTATGGAAAATAGAACACACAAAACTTTTTCCACTTATGCCTTCTCATTAAAAACTCAAAACGAATAACGAATGTACTTGGAAGAAGGTTTGAGTATTTCACGAATGCACAGAATGTAGGTACCTATTTAGAATATGCAAAACAACAAAAAATGGGATGCACAGCTACACTCAGACAATACAGGGATACTCTTAATTCGAAATTTAATATAGCTTTCTTTAAGCCAAAAAAAGATCAGTGTTCCGTGTGTAGTGCCTATAAGAATACAGATCCCGAGAAGAGAACAGAAAAAATGGAAGATGATTATAATAATCATAATTTAAACAAAATCGCTGTTCGAAATCTGAAAGACATTGATAAAGAATTGCCGAAAAATTGATAAATCTCTAATAACAGCATGCTTTGATTTTTATTATAAAAGTAAAATCGCAACATACAACTTTACAATTTCTGATTTAGGCAGCAATCAAGGCTATTGCTATGTATGGCATGAGCAAATATCGAAGAGAGGACCGGATGAAATTGGAAGTTATTTATGGATCTTTTTAAAAAGTGTTAAAGAAAATGGCATACGAAAGGTTATTCTTTATTCTGACCGTAATCGTTTTGTTTTTGCGATGTTTGCTTATCCATCAATGACTGGATTTGGAAATAACACACCGTTTTCTTGAAATTGGCCACAGTACAAAGTAAAATAAATGTCTCAAGAAAATTTTGTAACTTTTAAACCAATGGTAAAGAAACAAAATTGGTAAAAAGATATTACTGGAGAAGCTGTAAAAATCATCAAAATCAGAGAAATCCATTGCGATCCAGTCTCCCAATAAAGTATTTTTTGTGTAGGTATAATTTTGGAGAATATCAATTTTCAAGATTGTATCAAGGTTTGCTGCCAATTGATTGAAAAATTAAGCGGCCTTTTGGGTCTGTGTAAGGCTAATTTGATACCACCGATGTATAATGGATTTTACAACTCCCTTCGTCCTGCTAATAAGACTGACCACCAGGAAGAAAGTAATATTGACCAAGAAGATGACTCTGACTCTGAATCGTAATAAATTTTCCTGTCATTATTGTCATTATTGATTATTAACAATTATTTTTCTATCTTTTCATTTTTCTGTACCTTATTAATGTAGCAAGTTTTCTCAATAAAAATTTTGTGGACGAAAACTGTAGCAACTCATTTAAAATCCATTTTTTTCTTATCCTAAACTATTTTATTTAGATCATCAATAATTAATTATGACCTGAACAATAATTACTTTGTTAAAGAAGAACGATTTAGCTCTTGTAATAAAAAAAATAATGAACATTATTATTTTCTCAACTATTCAAATGCAATTATCTCGGTATAACCAAATTTGAGATACGACAGCTTTCCTTGGGAGAATCGATATGCACCCTAATAACACACAAAACCAAATAGGCCCCGATTTAGATTTTTCCCGACGGCACAATCTTGAAAAATAGGCTAAAAATGTGCTTTTTAGATGTTTTTTGTATTTGTTCATATTAGAAAGGAAGCTTTTGCTATCCCATATTATAGTAACTCTTTTGTTCAACATAAAATTTCCTATAGGGTCTTAAAGTTTGTACATTTCATACAATAAATTATTTTATATTGAACATATATCGATTTCAATCGGTTTATTCTCCAATTTTGAATTTTACTGGTCATTGCTATGAACTTGTATAACAAAACCCAGCTATTTGTGACTTGCACACCATATCCTCCTAAACAGTCCACCTTTTAACCAGCCTCTACTTTAACAGACTGCACACAATGATACAAAAGAAAATCCAGGATTACTTTTAGAGCTTATTTCTATATTTACAAAACAGTCCTGTGCTAAATGTGATATTTAATAGCCCGTTTAGTAAGGATTAATATGTACATATTTGTAATGTAACTACAAAGTAGTACAAAATAACTTGTTTTGTTTTTTTTCCTATCAAAAAAGTTGTTCCAGTGTAAGTTTTTTTAATTATACATATATTACAATGAAGTATGCTATATATGCACAAATAAATATATGTATGTACATATTTAGTTTGATACTACAAAAACAAATTTGAGAGTATATTTCAACACGACATTGGTTTAACCGGCCAAATCGTAATACGGTCAGGGTCCCGGTTCCAAAATGGCGCAAAACTTCAATCGAAAAGATCGCTATACGTAAATTACAAAATTTACAATTGCAATTCTCCGAATTTTCCGATATTGTGAACAAACCTGTCCACACTAGTTGTTTGTAAGTAATTGTTTGCAATATATGCATACATTATTTGTATATTTACAAGCAAAAGTATCTAGATTTGGACTAGGCTTAAAATCAATCGATACATTCTTATAACTTTGCACACAAAATGTCTGCCTACAATATTTAACTGCATTTTCACCATATTTTGTTGTTTAATAATTTTGCAAAAGAATACCGTTAACCTATTTAATTCATGAATATTTGAAAAGTTTTGGTAAACAAGACATATCTATATATATATATATTTTATAACGTCAAGGTTTTTATAAGAGATCTTTGTTTACTTACGTAAGCAAAGACTGAATTTTGAACCCTATTTATTAAACGATTTTGAATGATAGCAACATTGATGGAAACAAGGCATATGCTGCGTTAATTTCAGAGATAATAAATTTACATTTTTTTTTATTAGTAAGTGTATATAAACATATAAACTCCTTTTAGATGTTACATAGTATAAAATGTATGAAGTATGATTATGATTAATACATAGGATGCAAAAAATTAATTGGAGATATTAATAAGTGTCCGTCATAATCTACTTACCAAATATTTTAGTCAAAATGTTTAGAACAGTACTGAATCCTTTGGCATTTTAATATTTAAGTAGGCATTTAATAGTACAAAAAAAAAAGAAAATAAAAAACGCAACTTATTTAAAAGTCAGTTTATTTGAATTTGATCCAATTCATATAAAATCTTAATCCAATTAAATATTAAAGTATTACACTAAATATTTTTATTGTAGGAGTAATGTAGATACGAATTCACTTTCATAAAAAAATAGATAATAATAATGAACATTAGCTAATTGTTTTGTGTCCTTATTTTTTATAGTTTTGGTTGTACCAAGGCTGTCCTTGAACATAATGAGTTGTTATTTAAAATTTAAATTATTATTGTTGCTAAGTAAATTTAAAAACACTTTTTGCATATTTCATGAACAAAAGTAATAACAAATTTGAGACATTTTATACCTAATTTAAGTTGATTCTATAACCAAATATGATACTTGTGTACTAAAGCATATATGCAGCAGACAAGAAATACTTCATTACTTTTAACATACTTAAAAATAGTTTATTACAAGATAACATGATAATAAAGTTTCGCTATATTTTTTGTCATATCCTTCATTAACTTTTCTCATTTTCATTTAACGTAATTAAAATGATGATATCTGTAGGTTTACTGATACAGATTGGATTTAATTGGAATAAATCCTTCTACAAGGTTATTAAATATATTTAAGTAGCAAGTTTTAATAATGTTTTTAATTATAAAATTTGTTTAATAAAGTAGTTTGCAGTAACCATAACCAAATTTGCATGTTGGGCCGTATTTACTGGGGATGATTCATAAATCGTCAAAATAAACCATTATATCACGCATAATTGGCTGTATTCTTTCAGTTTTATTAATTATAGTAAATAATTCAAATTTACTCAATTTTGAATCTTCATTGATTCATCCATTGATATTTATGTATTTCTTTAAAAACGAAAATAAATTTAGTTAAGCATGTTTAATTGAATTTGTTCGTACTCACCTTGCAGGTAGTTTGCTATTTCCAAATATAAGGTTTACCTAACTTTCTTTAAATCTCATTAGCACAGTTAATTTAACTTTATGTTATAATGAAAATATTTTATAAAAATCACCTTGTTCGGAAGCAACTTCTGGTAAGTAAGTAGCAGTTCGTTTATTTCCCTTTTCATTAATGAATTCAATCCGAATACCATGAACACCTACTTCCCAATCTAAGTAATCGTCACCATCCTCAAAATGTCTCAAGATTGACACAGACACACTTAATTTAGGGAATTCATCCCGTGTTATGGGGCTAAATCTGGAATCTTTAAAAGCACTGGTTATAGCGTACTCTCTTAATCCGGTTTGTAAATTCATAGCGTTAAAAGTACCAATGCACCCTCGAAGACGTTTGTCTTTTCCGATTTTCCATGTTACAAATAGTGGACTGTGAAAAAACAAAGTATATTTTAATTTTGTTTACTGTTATGTTGGTAATGCCAAACAAAGGAAAGTGAACTAAATAGTTGAACGACCTACGTTTGACAGACCTAACTTTTTGTAATCTAAATTTAAATATAATAGTGACAAGTAGTTACTTACATGGAAAATGTTCATGTACTTACTATGCATCGTTACTGAATGAAGGTGTTTTAGGGGGGGCTAGGTTATACAAATGGCAATAAAGCACGTCAAAACAAAAGAAACACATTTCAGGTAACGCGACCATTCCCATTCCGTTGCTTACTCCGTTTGAAACTACCGAAGTACCATTGCAAGAAGGGATACTGGATGAATTGTTAAGTTTTTGTTTCTTTGTACCACAACACCCAGCAGCCATCGTACTTCGAACAGAATCAAACAGCTGACTGAGCCAGCCAGCACAGATGGCTGCAGGACAAGAACAAGGAGAGACATGTATACTTCTATTTTTGTTACACTTATCATTATGCCTACCGCATTAAATGACGTCACAAGATCTATTGGTATTGAGTGTTGGGTGTTTTTATTCATGAACTTATTTGATTAGTGCTGTATTTCTAGTATCCTTGTCTTTGAGGTTATATGGAAATATTTTATAATATAATAAAATTAGTATTATTTTTTAAAGATACGTAATGGTATCAAACGCTTTATCGATTTATATATGTTTTTAGATCTTGGATATTTTGCTTTCATTTATGAAAAAAATGTAAAATTCATCAGTAATTGAAAATTAATTATTCTGTAGTACCCAAATGTATTATAAAAATCCTAATGTATTACCTGCCTACCATCTTTTTCATTGTCAATAAATTAAGTAGGTAAATTATAATTATTATTACCTAATCCTAACAATAATGTGGTTCGATATGTTACCTTAGAGCATATACTACAGCAATAGTATATGCTCTAAGTATGTTACCTACTGAGTATTTTACAAATATTTATTCAATTTCCTTTTCCTAACTACTATAGGAGCAAGGTTTTAATTAAGTGAAATATAAGAGAAGTGAATGTAGATAAATGAAACGAAATAAAATATATCAATCTTTAAACTAATATCTCACATATTATTGCAACAGTTTAAAAAATTATTGACCATTTCAGTTATTGAGCACAATTACATACATAAATTAATACGACCCTTAATTTTGACGCTACCTCGAGTAGAAGTTTACAGCTATAAATAACCTTATCACTTTTGAATACCTAGCCTTAGTCGTCAAAACAGATTTCTAGTAACATTGGTACCTATTGATTTTGAATAAATATTTTAAATATGATTAAATTTCTAGAGGTAAATATTCTAAATTAAATTATTCGTGCTTTTTATTTATTGTTAATATTCTTAATATATTTAAATATATTTTTTTCAAATGAGCAAATAATAAATTTCTTTGACGACTCTAAAAATATTCAGGAGATGGCAGCACATAACAGAAACAAAACATGCACAATCATCGTTTTAATTTCAAACTTCGGCGTCAAATTAGCTTTTGATTTACGTTTATAGATACATTGATAAATAAGTGATTATAAAGATAAAAACATTTTTAAGTACCAGCATCGGTGTACAAAATTTAAATTATCTCATTCAAGAATTCTTAATATCTATATAGTCCAATCGGACTTTTTTCGAGAACTAATTAAAAGGGGGTATAGGCAGTGGCGGCCCGTGTGTTGGAATACAGGGAGGGCGCATTTTGAAAAGAGGACGTACATGATAAGAGTTGCGGGGGTGCGGGGGGAAAATTTTTAAGGAATTTGAAGGTCATTGTGTTTTGCAAGTATCCCAAAATGAATAAGTACTGTCTGTGTATACAGTAGGTACTTAGATACAATGGGAGAAGTAAAATTCCAACGTGTGGGGGCTGAAGTGGATAATCGATCAACCAACCCAGTTAGGATATAACTATGTAGATTACTGTAATAGTTCATTCTGTATAGTTTTTGAAGTTCCGTTAAAAACATGGGCATCACTAAGATGTTTATCTAAAACGGGATCAATTTCTGCACTATAGTACATCAGTTCTAAAAATACCCCTTTGTTTACCGAGTCACTTTTTTCATTATGTCCACGAAGAGGAAGGTTACATGTGCCACATAATTTTAAGATATCTATAATTTTTTAAAGAAGCAATCGATTTTTCTTAACTGTTTCGTTATGACTATTTATTTGTTCCGCATAAGCACTACTTAAACAAGAAGCAATATTTACTCTTCCTAAAAGTAAAAAACTCACCAACTTATTTTTGTGTTTAGGAGAATTTTCATCTTAATCTTGTCTGGTAAATGTTTCAAGTCAGAAACTGCAGATTTCGTCCAGTTTTCTTCGCCTCCTCCAAACAATAAACATACATAACAAAAAAATCTATTTGTTTCGTCACAACCACACAACATAAATGTTTTTATCAAATTTGCGAATAAAAGCCGGCCTACTTTTGCACTCTTTCTGCACCTGAACTAAATTCAACACTGGCGTTGGACGTTCGTTATTTTTCAATTCGACTTTTTCTTCTAAACTTAAATTACTAATAACAAGTTTTTTTATTTCACAAACCCTCATTTTGAACTTAAACTTATAAAATATAATGTCTTAAAAAGCGCCAAAGCAAAAACAAAACACGTATAACCACAATTCAGTGATACGGGTTACTGCCTCATGGAGTCCAACCAAAACAAAGTGCGTGAGACTATCGTCGCCTATCCCCTCCACGTGCCTATTTATCCAATCATATGTAAAAATATGCTTGCACGATGGACTCAAGATTTCACAGTCCGCAATGGAGTAGGGATTGCGCGCGCGGTCAAACATAACTCTTTGATACGATCATAGATGGCAGATGGCATTAATCTGAGCTACGTTCACGGAGTACATGCACTTTATGCAACCAACCTAACATCCAAGAGATATTGAATGCATGCTATTTAGATTTCTTATTGATTTAAATAAATACATTATTTTAAGTTTATAGTTTGAAAATATCTGGGGGGGGGGGCGGAGTTCCAGAGTCCTCCGTCACGAGCCGCCACTGGATAGGTATTATTAATCAAACATTTTCGGAAGGATGTCAGGATATTAGGTATTGGGACAATAGATTGAGACCAGTTGCCGGTGGTGGAACATTGTTAAGTAATCAAAGAAAACTCGAAAAACCGGTTTTTTGTGTTCAATTTTTGAGTCGTTGATGCTACTGAAAAAAAAGTTTAATACTTTTTTATAGGTATTAAAAATACCTACAAAATGAGAAGCGCTGGATCAAAATTCGTTAATTAGTTTTCTTCGAGCCGGTGAAGCAAGAAGAGCGCCAGAAGAAAGGGCCCTAGCCGGCGGGGCCCAGCCAGGACAAAAGGAGGTCCCACAAAGCGCCTACACCGG